ATCGTCATCTTTCACCTCATTTTTGAATCATCAGATTCCGAGTCCTAAAACTTGAGATACGTTGTTTCTTGAAATCAGCCCATAAACCATGTTTGCGTTTCAAAATCTTGATCCTGGTCGGTTAGTCGTCTTTGTTAACTCAAGGAATTACATCAATACTTACGTTCCACATTTAGTTAAATAATCACTTTAGTCCGTTCAGATAGAGAGAAAAGAATAGCATAATTTCAGTCCCTTGAGCCACTGACTTAATTCACTTCACGCTCACTCCTTTACTTGTTAAGCCAACTCTCTATATCACTCTCATAATACAGTCGCAGTCCGTAGTTAGCTTTTCAAAAAGTCCTTTGAGATCACTCTGACAAAGACAACATTGTTTGGAATAATAAAAGATTTTAGTATCTAAAACGACCAAGTGATAAGCTTTACATGGACAGACGTCTTGGCTAAAGACGGAGGGAGAAAACATTACGTATCAAAATTATGATTCTTCACAAATTAAATATGGCAAACTCTTCTTTGTTGATTTCATCCATATACTTACAAAGAAAGTAGTACTCCAAATAGTGTCAAGGTTGATTTAAATTAGAAGTCAAAACTACTTTCAGAAGCATAAAGTAGAATTTGGTGTAATTAGAGGTTTCGGATTTGAGCCAAGTCAATGGAGAAATCTTTGGTAGGAAACCTTTTGCCGGACCTTTTGCGGTACGAATTCGAATTTTCCTAATACGAATAATTAAAGAAAAAACTGGAACTTGGTTAGGAGAGTTAAGAAGCAATAATCCATAGTATTCAAATATAGAAAAAAAATTAAAGTTCGATTTTCTCTTTTGCAGGATCAAAGTTGGGTTAAAAACAATCTAAAGGCACAAGATATACGTCTAAGAAGACTAAACATATTGATTAATTAGGTAGTTGTGTAAGAAACAAATTCCTGGCTATATATCTATGCATGCACGTTCATGAAATTAATCATAAGAAATCCAATATCTTAGTTTATTCTTTTATCCAAAATGGCACTTCAAACCTTCTTATTCTTCTTCTTTGCCCTTTTCTTTTGTAATATAATCATTACTAACCAAACAGTCATGCCAAATTTTACTTCCATTTTAATTTTTGGTGATTCCACAATGGATACAGGAAATAATAACTATATACTCACTTTAGTCAAAGCAAATCACTTACCCTATGGCAAAGATTATCCTAACAATATCCCAACAGGAAGATTTTCAAATGGAAAACTTGTTCCAGACATGTTAGCTTTCTTACTAAATCTCAAACAAAATGGTGTTCCACCATATTTACAGCCAAATTTATCAACAAATGAATTATGTACTGGAATTAATTTTGCATCAGCTGGTTCAGGATATGATGAATTAACTAGTACTATTACTAGTACAATTCCAATAAGTAAACAGTTAGAATATTTTGAGGAATATTTGGAGAAAATTAAAGGGGTTGTAGGAGAGACAAAAGCTGAAAAAATAGTGAAAGGTGCTTTGGTTATTATTAGTTGTGGAACTAATGACTTAGTTTTTAATTTCTATGATATACCCACAAGAAGACTTCAGTTCAGTACTGTAAGTAAATATCAAGATTTTTTGCTAGAAAAGCTGCAAAGTTTTGTCAAGGTTAGACTACTTACTTTGTTCTTTGTCTTTCATCACTCTTTACTATGCATGTCTGTGAATTTCTCAGCATTTCTGAAAGGTTAAGACTTTTGTTTTTGTTGTCACTGCCGATGGTTGTGTTTTTTGTCAAACTTCCTAAAGGATAATGACTTAAGATTGTCCTATATATAGTTTTGATTTTATGAGAATTTTTCCACTTGAAAAGTGTATTCTATTTTGAAACTTTTTTTTTTGGTTTCCTATTCGGTGTCCGGTATCCACATTGGAGTCCGACTATATCCGAATTCGCGTGGGGGTAGGGGCCATTTGGAGGGTAGCGGTCCCTACCAAGAATTTTTCCATACGCAGAGCTCGAACTCGAGACCTCTGGTTAAGGGAGGAGGAGCCTCATCCGCTACATCAGTAGTACTCCTATTTAATTGGTTAATATAAATTAATCTTTGCTAAAAATGAGATTTTTTTTCTTTTCTTCTTATTTTTGCCTATTTGTCTTTCACCAATTTTCCTTCTTTAATAACCTTTTTTTTTGTGGTAATTAGAACCAGAAATAGCTCTTCATTAATATATGGGTCTATAGTCTCATCACATAGTCAACATTTCAAATGTTTTCAATCCGCATCAATTTTATACACCAAGTCAAACAATTTAACCTTAGCAGTTAAATACTAAAATTGAGATACTTATCACTAGCGGCGGACCCAAAAATTTCATTAAATGGGATCAAAATATAAACATGCAAACTCCCGAAAAGGTCAAGCGACATATATATATATATATACTGTAATTTTTCGATAAAGGGTTACCAGTTGACATCCCTTGAATACATGTGGTTCCGCCATTACTTATTATAACTTAATCATGGTTTAAGAATAAATATATGCATAAAAATAACGTCTTGCCTTGGTTGGTTTTGTGCAAACTTCATTACGAGTAAGGTTTCACCATCAAACTAGCTAGAAGCATTGCAAATTAATGGTAATTCTAATGCATCTAGTAATTTTTTCAGGAACTTTATGATCTTGGATGCCGTATGATTGTACTGAATGGACTGCCTCCAATTGGTTGTCTTCCAGTTCAAATGACTACAAAATCTCCACTTCTTAGAACTTGCATAGAAAATGAGAATTCTGATGCTCAACTTTACAATCAAAAGCTTAAGGAATTGTTACCTCAATTGCAAGCACAACTCCCAGGAAGCACAATATTATATGCAGACACATACAATCCCCTATTAGACCTTATTAACAATCCACAACAATATGGTACGTACTGAGTTTTCAATACTTCAACTTATATGCAGACTTTATTTTTGTTTTTCTTTCTCATTAAAGTTGAGGGGAGCCGGGAGCAACGGTAAAGTTATCCTGTGACCTATAGCCCATGGGTTCGAGCCGTGGAATCAACCATTGATGCTTGCATGAGCATTAGGGTAGGCTACCCACATCACATCCCCTTGGGGTGTGACCCTATAGGTCACGGGTTCGAGCCATAGAATCATCCACTAATGCTTGCTACCTACATCACATCCCCTTAGGGTGCGACACTATATGTCACATGTTCGAGCCGTGGAATCAGCCAATGATGCTTGCTACCTACATCACATCCCCTTGGGGTG